TCACCAGTCACCATTCATCCTGTTGGTGTTGCATCAATATGGAAAGGGCAAAATGGCAATGAATATTTTGGGACATTTAGATACCCCACTCAAGCCAATCTTCTTAGTTCCATGGGAACAGTTACTGTGCAGGGTGAACACTATTTATTTTCCCTGTATGACCATCAAGTTACTGAGCTGAAAGTTCAATGGTCACATGACATTATCTCGGATGACTATTTATGGAAATTCTTTGCTGACTATGCGAAAGTCCTGGATGTGCGTCGCCAGACTGAATTTGGAACTGGCGTCAGGTATGTGACTCTTGAACTAAAGTCATTTGATATTGACTTACCATACATTGGTAAGATTGGCAAGAAGATGGCCATGCTTATCTCCACAGCTGGACGTCTCCAAATCTGTTTTAAATGTAACAAGATTGGTCATGTCAGAGACAAATGTCCGTACAGACCTTCAGTATCAATTACTATTGGTGCTAGACCATCGTATCGCTGATGCAGCAAAGACAAACGATCAGAGTTCTGCTGTTTCTTTGACTTCTGAGTATGGAGAGGACTGACTGACTGAGTTTGGTTTTACGCCGCTTTTAGCAATATTCCAGCAACATCACGGCGGGGGACACCAGAAATGGGCTTCACACATTGTACCCATGTGGGGATTCGAACCCGGGTATTTGGCGTGACGAGCCAACGCTTTAACCACAAGGCTACCCAGAGTATGGAGAGGACGAGGAGAGAGGTGTAGATTCAGAGGTAGATGTGGGGAGGGAGAAGGAGAGCGTGATAGACATGAGAGAAGTAGAGCGGAAGAAGAGGGTGAAGTTAATGTGCCTTCTCCTCACCCATCATGAAGTGAGCAGATGCAACTTTTCCCAAGAGGGGGGTAAGTGTTTGGCTGTTCAAAGTAGAGTTTCCTTTGCCCTCCGCTACAGTTCCTCGTAGTAGGAAGGCGGGTAGATCGAGTGGTGCTAAAGGGAATAAAAGGAGCTCTGAGGCTTCATCCCCTTCCCCTACAAGGAGGCATTCATTTGCTAATACGGTGGGAAATATCGGAGTAACAGAGGACCTCCCCAAGGACAGCTTTAAAGAAGCCCAGAGGGGGAGAGGAACTCCGTTACAAGTAAACTGTATTAATTCACAAAACCAATTGATCATGCTATGTCTATGGATTATGATTAAAAGAACAGCGGCGCAAACAAAATTTCTTCCTCTTAAGGGAGTTCATTATATCAACGTTGTATATATGTCAATTATCTTAAATTATTTCCAATGTATGTTTTAGTAATGTCACAAACAAAAAACGCCAATGTTTAATTTTACTCCAATAAATTGTAATGTGTTACTTGATTCTGCTGATAAAATTAATAATATAAAATAAAAATATTATGCATGTATTGACTTTATATTTCTTCAGGAAACCCATGTCTATAACAATCATACTGCTAAAGGGTTGGGAGGTAAATTTAGGGGGGAAATGTTTCTGAGCCTTTGGGAATAATAATAGTAGGTGAGTCGGTTTAATAATTAAAGACACAATTGATTTTGAGTTAGATTTAATATTGATGGGAGATATATAATATTAGATGTAGAATACATGGAGTTAGAGTTAGACTGATTAACATTTTTGCTCCTAATAAATCTGCAGATAGAGGGGTGTTTTTTGAAAATATTTCAGATGTTTAGTCACGGATAGATTAGTAATAGTTGGAGGGAATTTTACTTGTGTTTGCAATACAAAACTCAGTAAGATAGGTGGAAGTAGTTGCAGTACACAACAAGGTGCTAATATTGTTAGACAATGAGTTTCTGACTTTTCTATGACTAAAGGTCATTTAATTAGATCTATTGCAAAGAGCCTGGAAAATGGAGAAAAACTTCTAGTTATTTCTTACGTAAGGAAGCTACGAGAGGTCAAAAGAAATCAATATCTTCAGGCCCTCTTGTTAAATTCCCTCAAGACATCATGGGTGTGTTTGTAGATTACTATTCAGATTTATTTTCGGGTGAACCCGTTGACGACGAAACATGTAAAGACTTACCTCAATTAAATTCGGAACGTTCGGCTGTACTAGAAGGTGAAATACCAAAATCAGAAATTCTTAAAGCTATGGGTCTCCAGGTTCGGAGGGCCTGCCAAGGAGTTTTATTTGTTTCTCTTTGACGTCTGAGGTGGTGTGCTTCTTCGTCTTGTGCATTTGTGTTTCACTGAAGGGCGTTTACCTAGCTCTTCCAAAACCTCCATTATTACTTTAATATGCAAATCCATAATTTGCGCCCTATTTCGTTATAAAATGTTGATTTCAAAATTATATCTCAAACAGTATGGACCCGTTTAGGTAGCGTTATTGGTGATGTAGTTCATCAGGATCAAATATGTGCTATTCCTGGTCGATCTATGTTAGATAATTGACACTTACAACGCAGTGTGTTGGAATATGTGGAGAAAAAAATCTCTCCTATGCTTTAGTAAGTTTGAATAAGAAAAGGCTTTTGATGGAGTCTCCCATGAATTTTTATTTAAAACATTGGACGCATTTGGCTTTGGTCCAGATTTTAAAAAATGGGTAAAAATTATATATACTGACATATCCAGTGCAGTTATAGTTAACCAACACATATATCGGTCTTTTCCGGTCACGAGGTGTGTCAGGCAGGGTTGTGGATTATCTCCCTCTTTGTATGTACTTACACTGGAGCCTCTACTTTAAACAAATCGTCAAAATTAGTCAATAAACGGTGTGCAACTACCAGGTACTGATGATTCAGCAAGATATCTGCATATGCTGATGATGGGCTGGGATTTTGTACAAGACGCCTCAATTAAGAATCTTTTGGATATCTATGAAAAATTTGGGAAGCCGTCTGGGTCCAAATTGAATATGTCTAAAACAAAAGGAATCTTTGTTGGTATGTGGAAAACAAGGTCAGACCACCCTTTAGGTATATCATGAGATACCTGAGATACCATACTTAACTGTGGCATGGTATCTCAGTGGGCTAGCACTATAAAACCAGCTTAAGTCTGGGCTAGTACAAGAGCAGCCACGCACACACACATGCACATCATCATATGAGCGAAATATTCTTAAATGCGACGTAAAACCCCATTTCACCTCACCTCACCTTCAACCAATATTCAGAACAAAATACCATGGTCCCTGGTATGGTGGTCTACCTTCGGTTGTTGGCGATCTATAGCCGGTTTTTATATTGCATTGTCATTTATAAGTAAAATATTTTAGATTTAATTACTAAAATAGTCTTAAATTTATTGTGTGATAATCTAGTTGTTTTATTGTTCTTCGTTGACAGGTGTTTTATAATGTAAATGTGTTTATTGTTAATTTATAACTTTTTAAGTCAGAATATGGCTGAAATAGTGCCGATGTGACTATAAATTTTAACTCACTCAGTCACGCAGAACAAAATAAGACTTTTCATGGATCACTAACTGTTGTGTAAACATGTATATGTCCATGATACTGTGTCTGAAAAGACCGCCTCCGTGGTGTAGTGGTTAATCCGCCGAGGCGGAAGGTCAGCCGAGTTCGATCCCGACCCGTCATCTGAAAAGGCGTTAAAATATGGTACTTGTTGGTCCCTGCCTGGGGCTCGACATTAATGGGTACAACAAGGACTTGTCGGCTGAGAGTCAGTATAATGTGTCTGAGTGGGGTTTTCATGCTTCACTGCGGCATGGTATCTCAGTGGGCTAGCACTATAAAACCAGCTGAAGTCTGGGCTAGTACAAGCAGCCGCACATACACATACATATACACTCGCATGCACGTCGTCATATGAGCGAAATATTCTCAAGCACGACGTACAACCCAATTTCACCTCACCTCAACTGTGTCTGTAAAACAGTATATTTATAATTTATTTTCTTTTTTGTTCTTTTACTGTTTGAATGTGAAGCAGATTGTGAAACAGACCCTCAGTACATCAGGCAAGGTGATTCTCCACATCTGTATTAGTCTTGAGTGGGATGTTCCTCCAGCCTGAATTCCAGGACTCAAGGTTGTATAATGTTCTTTCAATAGTGTATGCTAAAGCCAGTCTTCCAAATTCTTACACAAGTCTCAAAATCAAGCTGTTCAGCAGACAATACTGGAGGAGTATTCCTCTTCAAAACTGGATGACCAATTCACTTGCCAATCTTGTATTGCATTGCAATTGTGTGTAAACTCTTCAAAGTGTGTTATAAACAGTAATGTCAGCAACTCTGATATCCAGAATGTTGTAACCCCAGTAAGGTGGCAGAGCTTTGGTTGTTGGTGGTCCATAGCCTGTGTTTTAATGTTAATATATGTCATATCGAGTTGCATTTCTAGAATTGGACCCACATGGGTAATATGTGTGAAGCCCATTTCTGGTGACCCCGGTCGTGATATTGCTGGAATATTGCTGTGTGCGGCGTAAAACCCAACTCATTCATTCTAGAATTGGAAATGATGAGTTTTTAAGACTTGAATTCTGTGGTACGTTGCTTTCATGACAGATATTTATCATATACATGTATATATACAACTTTGTTCTCGTCACTATATGGCTGAGTGAGTGAGTGAGTTTAGTTTTACGCCGCACTCAGCAATATTCCAGCTATACGGTCTGTAAATAATCGAGTGATCAAGTGATCAACAACATGAGCATTGATCTACGCAATTGGGAACCGATGACATGTGTCAACCAAGTCAGCCAGCCAGACCACCCAATCCTGTTAGTCGCCTCTTACGGCAAGCATGGGTTACTGAAAGCCAATTCTAACTGGGACCTTCACGGGTCCTATATGGCTGAAATATTGCCGGTGTGACGTTAAATTTTAACTCACTCACTCACATCAGAATGTTGTGAATTTCCTGTGTTTGATATTGAAGCACAGCAAACCTTTATATGGGGTGCTATGTCATATCTGTAAAACTGATTACAGACACTGCAATTACTGACATTTAGCATGTAATATCTAGTTGAAGGCTCAACAAACAAGGTGTTGACAACAGATTTCAGTCTTGCACCAGTTTATCAAAGAATATCATACATTAATGCATCCATTTACAAACACTCTAAAAGTCACTATTCACAAAGAGGTAACTACAAGAGGAAGAGATTAAATTAAATATGTTTAGTATTCACAGGTTATGAAATTATTTTAACATGCATACACTTGAATTGCTTGAAAATAATTTCAAGATACTACAACCTGATATCTTCATCTGAGTCTGAGTCAACGAAACCCATGTCGTCATCATCATTGTCTTTGACTATATGCTTATCCACATCCTCCCCAAGTCGTCCATCCCCCTGACCCCCCTCTCCACTGGCTCCAACAAGCACCTGCTCCTCCTCCTCCTCCTCCTGGTCTTCCCAGGATGAGCGTACATGCACCTGCTTGAGCACCCGTTGTGCCAGTCTCTGTATGTCCTTGTAGGGGCGGGGATCAGCCTGGATGCTCTCCAACAAACAAATTCCACACTCTTTCTCCAGCAAGGTACAGTACTTCTCAGCTGAAAAATACACACACAACATGTCTTGTACAAAAGCCTATTTGACATAAGTCAGCTTGGGTTCAGCAAAATAATTGAAGCATTATTTAGTTACTTATAATAATGCTGATTGAGTAATCCATACAAAAATAAATTACAGTACACTCATATTATTGTGAACCAACTGTACAAATTCTTTTTGACATATCTTCACTAACATGATTTTAATTCATTTACCACAGTTGTGTCAGCTGGATAGCCTCACTACAGCTGTGTCAGTTGGATAGCCTCACTACAGCTGTGTCAGCTGGATAGCCTCACTACAGCTGTGTCAGCTGTGTCAGGGATAGCCTCACTACAGCTGTGTCAGCTGGATAGCCTCACTACAGCTGTGTCAGCTGGATAGCCTCACTACAGCTGTGTCAGCTGGATAGCCTCACTACAGCTGTGTCAGATGGATAGCCTCACTACAGCTGTGTCAGCTGGATAGCCTCACTACAGCTGTGTCAGCTGGATAGCCTCACTACAGCTGTGTCAGCTGGATAGCCTCACTACAGCTGTGTCAGATGGAGCTGGATAGCCTCACTACAGCTGTGTCAGCTGGATAGCCTCAATAGTAAACAGAAGCTGTGTCAACACCATATACAGATAGCCTCATTACAGCTGGCTAGCCTCAGTAGTAAAACAGCAGATGCCAGGTGAGCTAATACGCTTGCACATTGTGTGCTGACCTCTCACTACAGAGTCCACTCTCACTACAGATCTCCAGACAACACTACACACATCTCACTACAGCACAACACTACACACATCTCTCACTACACCACAACTACACACACACATCTCACCACTACACACATCAACACTACACACACCTCTAACTACAGCTCACAACACTACACACATCTCACTACAGCACCACTACACACATCTCACTACACACAACACTACACACATCTCACTACAGCACAACACTACACACATCTCACTACACCACAACACTACACACATCTCACTACAGCACAACACTACACACATCTCACTACAGCACAACACTACACACATCTCAGCACTACACTGCACAACACTAACACTACACACATCTACTAATAGCACACCTCACTACACATCACTACAGCATCTCACTACACCACAACACTACACACATCTCACTACAGCACAACACTACACACATCTCACATAGCCACCACTACTACACAACACTACACATCTCACTACAGCACCTCACTACACACATCTCACTATAGCACCTCACTACACACATAGCATATCTCACTATAGCACCTCACTACACACACTACTGCACAACACCTACACACATCTCACACTATAGCACTACACACTACACACAACACTCACTATCTCACTATAGCACAACACTACACATATCTCACTAGCACTACACCACAACACTACAGCACCTCACTACACCACAACACTACACACATCTCACTATAGCACACAACACCATAACACTACACACATCTCACTATAGCACCTCACTACACCACAACACTACACACATCTCACTATAGCACAACACTACACCATAACACTACACACATCTTACACTATAGCACCTCACTACACCTCACAACACTCACACACATCTCACTATAGCACCTCCACTACACCACACTACTACACATCTCTCACTATAGCACCTCACTACACTCACAACACTACACACACCTCTCACTATAGCACAACACTACACCACATACACTACAGCACTACACGCATCTCTCACTATAGCACCTCTCACTACACAGCACAACACTACACACATCTCACTATAGCACCTCCCTACAGCACAACACTACACACATCTCACTATAGCACCTCACTACACACATCTCACTATAGCACCTCCCTACACCACAACACTACACACATCTCACTACAGCACAACACTACACACATCTCACTACACCATAGCACCTCCATCTCACTATAGCACAACACTACACAACACTACACACATCTCACTATAGCACCTCACTACACACATCTCACTATAGCACCTCCCTACAGCGCAACACTACACACATCTCACTATAGCACCTCACTACACACATCTCACTATAGCACACCACTACACACATCTCACTATAGCACAACACTACACACATCTCACTATAGCACCACAACACTACACCTCACTACACCCACAACACTACACACATCTCACTATAGCACCTCACTACACCACAACACTACACACACCTCACTATAGCACAACACTACACACACCTCACTATAGCACAACACTACACACATCTCACTATAGCATGACGCTACATACATCTCATTACAGCACAACGCTACACATCTCACTACACCACAACACTACACACTACAGTATACTCTCAGAGGACAAAGATAAGGTACACAACTTAAGGCAGCATACCATGTTTCTTCTAGTTTCTCAGGTTGGTTAAATCATAGCATGATGTAAGTGGTAAACACGTTGCCTTCAGGCAAACCTTACCCTGTACCTCAAGAGATACATGGATGTAATCATACACAAAGGTTTTGTCATCCAAGAAGCTCTCTAGTCACCACCATTCTTTGCTGAAGTGTTACATTTGTTGTATTGTGCTGTTGTTACTGATTCCAGTACCTGAACACCTGGACATATTCTGGGACCATCAGCCGAGGACGAAGCTCCTTTACTTCCGCTATGTTACCCTGTGAAAACACCAAAGATGATCACTGCCCTACCAGGGGTCGATTTAAGGAAATGAAACCCACTTGCACCCAGTGCAACCTAAGGCAATCCGCTTTTGTCGCACCAAACAAAACCAGGTTGCACCTGCTTCTTACTATAAAATCTTATATAATGCTTGAGATTTGATAAAGACAGTTTAGAACAGTATTATAACAAAAGAAATCTGTAGTTATCTTACTTCCTAAACTTTCATGAACAGTAAGTCCTTCAGTGACTGTTCCTACAATAATCAGAGTCATTGTTCCAAGTCAGTTCCTCGTCATTCTGTTTTCCAGCTGAAGTCTGTGTTCTTTGTACACAAAATATTAACACGCACTGAGTGCAAGTTGATACACATAAGAGGTTGCATTTAGCAGTTTCAGGCTGCACCAGTGCAAGTTCTAAATGCTCAAATCAAGCCCTGCTTTCTGACCAGCACCTCTGAAGAATCAACATCCAGTTTTACGCTCAGCATCATTTTACTGCACCATCAGGTCACAAATACCTAAAATTGCATTTCTCCAAATGTTTTAGAAAACAATGTGACAGGATCTTGAAATAGGCAATCACATGAGTAATCCATGGCACACAATTAATAATATTAATACCCATTTCACTTTAATGCGAGGCATTGACCCTCACTCACCATCAACCCCATCATGTTGCGAAGCAGCTCTGCATGGTCTTTGAATTTCTGCAATGAGATAAGGAACATAGACAAAACAGTAACTGCACTTGTCCAAGGGCAGAGATCAAGACAGGGATATATGTGCACTGGGGTTCTGGAGACAGTAGATGGAGAGCAGGAAGGAACATAGACACAACAGGAACTGCACTTGTCTAAGGGCAGAGATCAGGACAGGGATATATGTGCACTGAGGTTCTGGAGACACTAGATGGAGAGCAGGAAGGAACATAGACACAACAGGTACTGCACTTGTCTAAGGGCAAAGATCAAGACAGGGATATATGTGCACTGAGGTTCTGGAGACAGTAGATGGAGAGCAGGAAGGAACATAGACACAACAGGAACTGCACTTGTCTAAGGGCAGAGGTCAAGACAGGGATATATGTGCACTGAGGTTCTTGAGACAGTAGATCGAGAGCAGGACCAACTGGGATATGCCAATGGGCTTATTTGAAAATATTATAAGAATGAACAATGAATGAATTGAATTACAATGTCAAATCAATGTCAATAATCAATATGTCAAAACAAATTTGGGAACATACATGGTGTGCTTAAGTACACTAAGCTGCCAGATCCATGACCTTGAACTTTGACCAATGGTAATACACAATCTTTCTTGGGACAATATCAGTTAACGTCATGTAATTAGATATAGAGGACTTATGTACTCACTGATAAAATAATGTTCAGTATTCTGTGTGATCAAAATTGGTGAAATCCTTGGACTATAATCATATTGAAGAATATTACAACTGTGTGATCTCCAGACAAGACACAAGCTAAGGTCCACCAACCTCCAGACAGCTCAGGAACAGGCCCATCCCATCTTTGTCCATGAATCTTTCACAGTTGGCAGCAGTCTCATCTGTAACAAACATACAGGCAGAATGTAACAGCCAACACTGCAACAACCACCTTAAAACTTCTCCTTTGTCGTCCACACTCACTACTATGGTACGACCGCCTCCATGGTGTAGTGGTTAGAGCGTCCGCCCGGAGAGCGGAAGGTCGCGGGTTCGATCCCCGACCGCGTCATACCAAAAGATGTTAAAATATGGCACTTGTTGGTCCCTGCCTGGCGCTCGGCATTAATGGGTACAACAAGGACTGGTCGGCTCGGAGTCAGTATAATGTGTCTGAGTGAGGTATTCATGCTTCACTGCGGCATGGTATCTCAGTGGGCTAGCACTATAAAACCAGCTTAAGTCTGGGCTAGTACAAGCAGCCGCACATACACATACACACGCATGCACGTCGTCATATGAGCGAAATATTCTCAAGTACGACGTTAAACCCAATTTCACCTCACCTCACCTCACTATGGTACACTACAGTCCGTTTGGGTTCAAATGAGAACGATGAATGATTAAATATCTCGCAATAGTGATAAGTGCACAAAACATAAATAAGACACATGGTCTTGAAACCTCTGTACCCAACAGGATCTGAAATCTGACGCTTTATGATCAATCCCAGAAAAAGTTGTTTAAGAAACTATCATGTAACATTGTTCTATTTTCATGTTTCACACCTAGGGGTGACGAACAGCTGGTGGAACAGTGCCGGCTGTTTCCTGACTAGTAGGGGGCTGTGCTAAATTGCACTGGAAGTGCGTACCTGTGCTGTTCCACCAGCCATTTATCACCCCTCGGTGTGAAGACTGAAGATAGAACAATGTTACATGATAGTTTCTTAAACAGCTATTTCCATGATCGATCATAAAACATCAGATTTCAGATCCTGTTGGGTACAGAGGTTTCAGGACCATGGGATTATTTATGTTTTGTGCACTTATCCCTATTTCGAGTTATTTAATAATTCATCGTTCTTATTTGAACCCTAACGGACTGTAGTTTTGTGTCGTCCACACTCTCCACTATGGTACAGTACTTGACAACAATACTCTTACTACCATGGCGGGGCGGTGGGGTAGCCTAGTGGTTAAAGCGTTGGCTCGTCACGCCGAAGACCCAGGTTCGATTCCCCACATGGGCACAATGTGTTAAGCCGATTCTGGTGTCCTCAGCCGTGATATTACTGGAATATTGCTAAAAGCGGCGTAAAACTAAACTCAGTCAGTCAGTCAGTACTACCATGGCACACCATTCCTGAGGTGTCAACCCACTGTGGTCTATTTTTCAGCTGTCCTACCTGTGACATTCCACATAGTGCTCCAGGCTACTTCCATCACATCATCACACACATCACCCAGGAGCTTGCGTCTAATGATGCTCAACATTGTCTGTGGAAATGACAAATTTACATTTAGCATAAACACTGTGGCCTTAATGTGTCCTAATCAGTGAAGTCTGGTCACTGTAACCCATGACATCTTTCAGAAATACCATGTTATACAGTGAAAACATGAATGACAAGCACGCTCACAATATCCAAGTGAAAGCATATACAGTGAAACAACTACCTCTAATCAATATCAAGTCAGTCAGTTAGTAATGAAAAGCATATACGGTGAAACCTGCCAACACGGCACCTGTCTAATCCGGAACACTGTCAAAACCGGCATAAAATTTTGGTCCCGGCATTTTACAATCATATTATGATCATTAAAACATTGTCTAATCCGACACCTGTCTATTCCGTATTCCGGTCCCAACAAGCCTGTCTGTTGTTGCATTACTGGTGCTGTTCCACCAGACATTTATCACCCTCGGTTGAAGCATGACATAATTACATGATAGTTTCTTAATTCCGCAATTTGGCATGACTCCCCGGTCCCAACAAGCAATTTAACTGTAATTAACACTGTCTAAACCAGCATGGGTATGAACAGTCCAATCAAGAACCCATAATCCAATACACTAATTAATCCTCATGGCACGCTAGATAATCAGGAAGTAGTGATTGCGCGGTGAATCAAAAGCTCGTTGGATCATCTGTCATCAACATTGTTTAAATTTGTTGCATAATTACAAAAAAGATCAAAGGCGTTATAGAGATAAAGAGATTGACGAGCCATGTTGGAAAATAATCATTACTGTCTAATCCGGCTCCCTGTCTAAATGGCATTTTATTTCGGTCGGGGTGCCGGTTTAGACAGGTTTCACTGTACTATTACAAAATATACTGATTATGCAAAACAGAATGAGTTACCTCTTTCAATTATATACCACTACAGGCATAAGACTACATGAACTAAAAGAAAAAGCCATTTTACAGACAGTGCCATACCTTTGTATGATCATCACTGTGGCTTTGACCTTATCAGCCCACAATCTCTTTCTCTCTGCATGAACTACCTACCTCTATAGCTCCTAGACTGCCCACCATCTCTTTCTCCCTGCATGAACTACCTACCTCTATAGCTCCTAGACTGCCCACCATCTCTTTCTCCCTGCATGAACTACCTACCTATAGCTCCTGACTGCCCACAATCTTCTCTTTCTAGACTGCCCTACAATCCTGTCCACAATCTCTCTTCTCTCTGCATGACTTCCCTACCTCTATAGCTCCTAGACTGCCCACAATCTCCTTCTCTCTGCATGAACTCCTACCTACCTGAACTATACCTCTATAGCTCCTAGACTGCCCACAATCTCCTTCTCTCTGCATGAACTACTAGACTGCCCACAATCTCTATGAGCTCCTAGACTGCCCACAATCTCCTTCTCTCTGCATGAACTTCCTACCTCTATAGCTCCTAGACTGCCCACAATCTCCTTCTCTGCATGAACTGCCTATGAGACTACAATCTCCCTCTCTGCATGGACACTACCCTACCTCTATAGCTCCTAGACTGCCCACAATCTCCTTCTCTCTGCATGACTTCCCTACCTCTATAGCTCCTAGACTGCCCACAATCTCCTTCTCTCTGCATGACTTCCCTACCTCTATAGCTCCTAGACTGCCCACACTCCTTCTCTCTGCATGACTCTACCTTCTCTAGACTGCCCACAATGACTTCCCTACCTCTATAGCTCCTAGACTGCCCACAATCTCCTTCTCTCTGCATGACTTCCTACCTCTATAGCTCCTATGGACTGCCCTATGGCAACTCTCTCCTTCTCTCTGCATGACTTCCCTACCTCTATAGCTCCTAGACTGCCCACAATCTCCTTCTCTCTGCATGACTTCCCTACCTCTATAGCTCCTAGACTGCCCACAATCTCCTTCTCTCTGCATGACTTCCCTACCTCTATAGCTCCTAGACTGCCCACAATCTCCTTCTCTCTGCATGACTTCCCTACCTCTATAGCTCCTAGACTGCCCACAATCTCCTTCTCTGCATGAACTACCTACCTCTATAGCTCCTAGACTGCCCACAATCTCCTTCTCTCTGCATGACTTCCCTACCTCTATAGCTCCTAGACTGCCCACAATCTCCTTCTCTCTGCATGAATTCCCTACCTCTATAGCTCCTAGACTGCCCACAATCTCCTTCTCTCTGCATGACTTCCCTACCTCTATAGCTCCTCTGCTCCTAGACTGCCCACAATCTCTCTTCTCTCTGCATGACTTCCCTACCTCTATAGCTCCTAAGCTGCCCACAATCTCCTTCTCTTTGCCATCCACTTGACAAGCCAAGCAGTTGAGGAGGAAGATACCAATGCGATGGCTGTAGTCATCTCGCTGTGCTCGCTCTAACATCCGCAGCAGAAAGTTAACCAGCTTTTCATAGCAGTACATCTGGGGTGCAGAAACAACAATGCCGAACCAATGATCTTTTAAAATACCCTCCAGAGAAAATATACTAATTGATATGTTCATCAACTGAATCACTTGTGAGCTAAATAGAAATACAGTACATGTCATCTTAACATTTTCCCGGGTTTTACCCACACATGACAGGTATTGATTACTGTAAATCTCATCTTAACATTTTCCGGGTTTTACCCGGTTTTACAGTAATGTCATCTTAACATCTGCCTGGGTCTTACCCGTGTGAGAGGTATTGATTACAGTAAAGTCATCTTAACATTTTCCGGGTTTTACCCACGTGTCATCTTAGGTTTTACCCGCGTGAGAGGTATTGATTACAGTAAAAGTCATCTTAACATTTTCCGGGTTTTACCCGTGTGTATTGATTACCCATCTTAAACATTTTCGGGAGGTATTGATTACAGTAAAAGTCATCTTAACATTTTCTTTTACCCGTGTGAACATTGATTACAGTAAAGTCATCTTAACATTTTCCCGGGTTTTACCCACGTGTGACAGGTATTGATTACAGTAAATCTCATCTTAACATCTGCCTGGGTTTTACCCACGTGTGAGAGGTATTGATTACAGTAAAAGTCATCTTAACATTTGCCCGGGTTTTACCCACGTGTGAGAGGTATTGATTACAGTAATGTCATCTTAACATCTGCCTGGGTTTTACCCACGTGTGACAGGTATTGATTACAGTAATGTCATCTTAACATCTGCCCGGGTTTTACCCATTTGTAAGAGATATTGGTTACAGTACTTACCACATCATGGGGGATGTTAAAGACTGACAGAGTCAGGCATCCATTTCTCAGCATCTGTGCAACAACAATGTGAGAATATATCAGATATATGTGACACTGACATGATTTACACAAGATGGCATACAAATACATCCGATACATAAACCAGAAAACAAATTTATATGTATGAGATAAATCTCTACATCCACAACAGTTCATATCTATATATCAGATGTATCTCTACACCCACACAAACAGCATATTGGAACATTAAAATCAATGATAATGATTCTTAGAATAATAACTCTAATACCTGATTGCCTTTTTCCCAGAAACTTTTCAATGCCATTACACATAGCAATCCTTATACAACTGAAACCGGTCTGCAGTACTCAGCAGCAGTGTTTGTGAATGTTAAGTGAATAAAATAAAAAGTGCGTGGAATTTATCAGGCAGCCTACTCAACTTCCGGATTACTTTCTTGTGTAAACAATTTGAGAGCTTCTGTAAACAAAGTGTTATATTTATTCAATTATCATTATTTAGTCAACGATGATTCTAGCCCTCCAGTAAGTAAGACTATCTATAATGTTACGAAATTTTTAAAAAATCGGAATACATTTGTCTTTGTCGGAATGGCGGAATCGACATGCATTTTTGGGGATGATTCCGATAAACTCAGGAGGGTTATCATCTCTGTATACATCAGGTACATATGGCAGTTGAAAACTGAAAATCAAGAATGTGAAGCAGCAACTTCCTTGGCTTTGGGATGTCTCTCCACTCGGTGAGGAATAATTAGGATATTTTACTAGTGTATTTTCTAAAAACTAATTAAGTTACTATGATACAAAAAAAACAAGCCTCAAGTTTTTCCTGGTACTCACCGTTTGTTCTGTGGGGAACGTCTCCATTGCACGCAGTAGAAGACTGATGATACTCCTGAAAACATCTCTGATATCAGTATAATGTACAGATACATGCCCTTGGAGTTGGAATACCATAAGTGATAAGTCTTGTCCATACATAAAATTTTGCTTAATTCATGATTTCTCAAAAACACCACTTTTCAATATGTTCACCATGTGACATGCGCGATCATAGATTGTACAAGTGCAAAATTCCTTTCTACAGATGTTTCAATAAGCACGTACTGTTAAAATGGAACCATCAGAAATTCTCAGGCATTAATTAACTATGGGAAATTTCAGAAATGACACATTCCTGCAGTAATTCTACCCTGAGACACATTCATGTACAATTTCTACCCTGAGACACATTCCTGTCGTAATACTACCCTGAGACACATTCCTGTAGGAATTCTACCCTGAGACACATTCCTGAAGTAATTCTACCCTGAGATACATCCTGTAGTAATTCTACCCTGAGACACACCCTGCAGTAATTCTACCCTGAGACATATTCCTGCACTAATTCTACCCTGAGACACACCCTGAAGTAATTCTACCCTGAGACACACCCTGCAGTAATTCTACCCTGAGACACATTCCTGTAGTAATTCTACCCTGAGACACATTCCTGTAGTAATTCGACAATGAGACACATTCCTGTAGTAATTCTACCCTGAGACACATTCCTGTAGTAATTCTACCCTGAGACACATTCCTGAAGTAATTCTACCCTGAGACACACCCTGCAGTAACTCTACCCTGAGACACATTCCTGTAGGAATTCGACCCTGAGACACATTCCTGTAGTAATTCTACCCTGAGACACACCCTGAAGTAATTCTACCCTGAGACACACCCTGCAGTAATTCTACCCTGAGACACATTCCAGCAGTAATTCTACCCTGAGACACATTCCTGTAGGAATTCTACCCTGAGACACATTCCTGTAGTAATTCTACCCTGAGACACATTCCTGTAGGAATTCTACCCTGAGACACATTCCTGAAGTAATTCTACCCTGAGACACATTCCTGTAGTAATTCTACCCTGAGACACATTCCTGTAGTAATTCTACCCTGAGACACATTCCAGAAGTAATTCTACCCTGAGACACATTCCACAAGTAATTCTACCCTGAGACACATTCCAGAAGTAATTCTACTCTGAGACACATTCCAGCAGTAATTCTACCCTGAGACACATTCCTGTTGTAATTCTACCCTGAGACACATCCTACAGTAATTTTACCCTGAGACACATTCCACAAGTAATTCTACTCTGAAACACATTCCTGAAGTAATTCTACCCTGAGACACATTCCAGCAGTAATTCTACCCTGAGACACATTCCTGTAGTAATTCTACCCTGAGACACATCCTGCAGTAATTTTACCCTGAGACACATTCCTGTCGTAACTCTACCCTGAGACACATTCCTGTAGGAATTCGACCCTGAGACACATTCCTGTAGTAATTCTACCCTGAGACACACCCTGAAGTAATTCTACCCTGAGACACACCCTGCAGTAATTCTACCCTGAGACACATTCCAGCAGTAATTCTACCCTGAGACACATTCCTGTAGGAATTCTACCCTGAGACACATTCCTGTAGTAATTCTACCCTGAGACACATTCCTGTAGGAATTCTACCCTGAGACACATTCCTGAAGTAATTCTACCCTGAGACACATTCCTGTAGATATTCTACCCTGAGACACATTCCTGTAGTAATTCTACCCTGAGACACATTCCAGAAGTAATTCTACCCTGAGACACATTCCACAAGTAATTCTACCCTGAGACACATTCCTGTTGTAATTCTACCCTGAGACACATCCTACAGTAATTTTACCCTGAGACACATTCCACAAGTAATTCTACTCTGAAACACATTCCAGAAGTAATTCTACCCTGAGACACATTCCAGCAGTAATTCTACCCTGAGACACATTCCTGTAGTAATTCTACCCTGAGACACATCCTGCAGTAATTTTACCCTGAGACACATTCCTGTAGGAATTCTACTTTGAGACACAAACTGCAGTAATTCTACCCTGAGACACATTCCTGTAGTAATTCTACCCTGACACACATTTCTGTAGTAATTCTACCCTGAGACACATTCCAGAAGTAACTCTACCCTGAGACACATTCCTGTAGTAATTCTACTCTGAGACACATTCCTGTAGTAATTCTACCCTGAGACACAATCCAGAAGTAATTCTAACCTGAGACACATTCTGTAGTAATTCTACCCAGAGACACATTCCTGTTGTAATTCTACCCTGAGACACATTCCTGTAGTAATTCTACCCTGAGACACATTCCAGAAGTAATTCTACCCTGAGACACATTCCTGCAGTAATTCTACCCTGAGACAAATTCCTGTAGTAATTCTACCCTGAGACACATTCCTGTAGTAATTCTACCCTGAGACACATTCCTGTAGTAATTCTACCCTGAGACACATTCTAGAAGTGATTCTACCCTGTGACACATTCCTGTAGTAATTCTACCCTAAGACACACCCTGTAGTAATTCTACCCTGAGACACATTCCTGTAGTAATTCTACCCTGAGACACATTCCTGTAGTAATTCTACCCTGAGACACATTCTAGAAGTGATTCTACCCTGTGACACATTCCTGTAGTGATTCTACCCTGACATACACCCCTGCAGTAATTCTACCCTGAGACACATCCTGTAGTAATTCTACCCTGAGACACATTCCTGTAGTAATTCTACCCTGAGACACATTCCTGTAGTAATTCTACCCTGAGACACATTCCTGTAGTAATTCTACCCTGAGACACATTCCTGTAGTAATTCTACCCTGAGACACATTCCTGTAGTAATTCTACCCTGAGACACATTCCTGTAGTAATTCTACCCTGAGACACATTCCTGTAGTAATTCTACCCTGAGACACATTCTGTAGTAATTCTACCCTGAGACACATTCTGTAGTAATTCTACCCTGAGACACATTCCTGTAGTAATTCTACCCTGAGACACATTCTGTAGTAATTCTACCCTGAGACACATTCCTGTAATTCTACCCTGAGACACATTCCTGTAGTAATTCTACCCTGAGACACATTCCTGTAGTAATTCTGCCCTGAGACACATTCCTGTAGTAATTCTACCCTGAGACACATTCCTGTGAGTAATTCTACCCTGAGACACATTCCTGTAGTAATTCTACCCTGAGACACATTCCCCTGAGTAATTCTACCCTGAGACACATTCCTGAAGTGATTCTACCCTGAGACATTCCTGTAGTAATTCTACCCTGAGACACATTCCTGTGTGTAATTCTACCCTGAGACACATTCCTGTGGTAATTCTACCCTGAGACACATTCCTGTAGTAATTCTACCCTGAGACACATTCTAGAGTGATTCTACCCTGAGACACATTCCTGTAGTAATTCTGCCCTGATTCTACCCTGAGACACCCCTGCAGTAATTCTACCCTGAGACACATCCTGTAGTAATTCTACCCTGAGACACATTCCTGTAGTAATTCTACCCTGAGACACATTCTGTAGTAATTCTACCCTGAGACACATTCCTGTAGTAATTCTACCCTGAGACACATTCCTGTAGTAATTCTACCCTGAGACACATTCCTGTAGTAATTCTACCCTGAGACACATTCCTGTAGTAATTCTACCCTGAGACACATTCTGTAGTAATTCTACCCTGAGACACATTCTGAAGTAATTCTACCCTGAGACACATTCCTGAAGTAATTCTACCCTGAGATACATTCTGTAATAATTCTACCCTGAGACACACCCTGCAGTAATTCTACCCTGAGACACATCCTGTAGTAATTCTACCCTGAGACACATTCTGAAGTAATTCTACCCTGAGACACATTCCTGTGCAGTAATTCTACCCTGAGACACATTCCTGTAGTAATTCTACCCTGAGACACATTCCTGCAGTAATTCCACCAGGGATACATTCCTGTAGTAATTCTACCCTGAGACACATTCCAGCAGTAATTCTACCCTGAGACACATTCCAGAAGTGATTCTACCCTGTGACACATTCCTGTAGTAATTCTACCCTGAGACACATTCCTGTAGTAATTCTACCCTGAGACACATTCCTGTAGTAATTCTACCCTGAGACACATTCTGTAGTAATTCTACCCTAAGGCACATTCTGTAGTAATTCTACCTTGAGACACATTCTGAAGTAATTCTACCCTGAGACACATTCCTGAAGTAATTCTACCCTGAGACACATTCTGTAATAATTCTACCCTGAGACACACCCTGCAGTAATTCTACCCTGAGACACATCCTGTAGTAATTCTACCCTGAGACACATTCCTGTAGTAATTCTACCCTGAGACACATTCTGTAGTAATTCTACCCTAAGGCACATTCTGTAGTAATTCTACCTTGAGACACATTCTGAAGTAATTCTACCCTGAGACACATTCCTGAAGTAATTCTACCCTGAGATACATTCTGTAATAATTCTACCCTGAGACACACCCTGCAGTAATTCTACCCTGAGACACATCCTGTAGTAATTCTACCCTGAGACACATTCTGAAGTAATTCTACCCTGGGACACACATTCTGTAGTAATTCTACCCTGAGACACATTCCTGTAGTAATTATACCCTGAGACACATTCCTGTAGTAATTCTACCCTGAGACACACCCTGCAGTAATTCTACCCCCTGAGACACACCCTGTAGTAATTCTACCCTGGAGACACATTCCTGCAGTAATTCCACCAGGGATACATTCCTGTAGTAATTCTACCCTGAGACACATCCTGCAGTAATTCTACCCTGAGACACACCCTGCAGTAATTCTACCCAGGGACACATTCAACCATTAATTCTACCCTGAGACACATTCCTGCAGTAATTCCACCAGGGACACATTCCTGTAGTAATTTTACCCTGAGACACATCTTGTAGTAATTCTACCCTGAGGCACATTCTGCAGTAGTAATTCTGCCCCTGAGACACATTCCATCAGTAATTCTACCCTGAGACACATCCTGTAGTAATTCTACCCTGAGGCACATTCTGCAGTAATTCTACCCTGAGACACATTCCAGCAGTAATTTCACCCAGGGACACATTCAACCAGCAATTCTACCATGAACACTTTCCAGCAATAATTCTACCCTGAGAAACATTTCTGCAGTAATTCTACCAGGAAAAGAACTTTTCATGGGAAATGTTCCAGTATAAATTCTACCAGAACACAAATTATACCTTGGAACTTGGTGTTTTACATTACTCAGGATGGGTTATTTTTTGTTTGGTATTTTGTGCCAGCAAGAGATGCCACTACGGCTGTAACGATGCATCAAACTATCGATGGATTGCAATTGTTGAAATATTGGGAAATAACTTCAAATGACACATATCAAGGAGAAAAATGTTATTGCAATAGGATTGCAATAGTTGGTCGCAACAGACTATCGCTATCGTAATAGTATGTTGCAAAAGACTATCACTATTGCCACAGTTGTTTTCCCCTCAATAGTCACCCCTAGATGCCACTGACTTACCTCCTTTGTTTCTGAGTGATGTAGTCTTTTTGATCCCCCTTGGCTATATAGAACAATGATGCACTGAAACAACACAGTCACTTATCAGACAGTGGAGCACAATTTTCAGAAATAAAAACACAATTAATTATTTATTTTTGAATATGGTCCTACATGACATTCAATGAAGCAGACATGACATTCTTCCAGACATCCCAGTGGTCGATTTAAGGAAATGAAACCTACTTGCACCCAGTGCAACCTAAGGCAATCACTTTGTTGCACCAATAAAAACAGGTTGCACCTCCTGCTTGATAAAAACTCTTTTATAATGCTTGAGTTTTGGTAAAGACGATTAAGAACAGTATTATAACAAATGAAATCTGTAGTTATCTTACTTCCTAAAATTTCATGAACAGCAATTCCTTCAGTCACTGTTCCTACAATAATCAGAGTCACTGTTCCAAGTCAGTTCCTCATCATTCTGTTTTCCAGCTGAAGTCTGTGTTCTTTGTACACAAAATATTAACATGCACTGTGAGAGGTTGCATTTAGCAGTTTCAGGTTGCACCAGTGCAAGTTCTAAATGCTTAAATCGAGCCCTAAATGGCATTGTCAGAAACATATGAAATGGATTGACGACAGAATACTTCATATACTTGCAGCTGTCTGAGTTTTCTGGTGAATTAAAACTGTGTACACTTTACCTGCCTACAATCTGCACCTGTTTGTCCCAGATGTGGCGCTTCATGCCAGCCAAGATGGCCTGAAACAAAACGTCTTGTCATCAATCATATATTGTATGAACCTGAATACAAGCAAGTATTTGAAGAATTTGATTAAATGACTCCATGCCTGTTCAGTATGGCTGCCTACTGTCAGATCACATTGTCATGTGTGACTTTAACAAGCACTATTCCAGAACTTCATCAAATCAGGTGGTGATGTTGTCCTTTGAAGCTCCACACCTTTTCATACATGGTGGAGTACAGTATAGAAGACACACCATAGTTCATGCAGAATAAATCAAAATGCCCCAAAATAGTTTTCATATTTATTTCATTATTTCTCAAACAGATGGTTAGTATATTCTGGACGGCGGCGCAGCGTTTCCTTGTCAAGCTGAAGACCAGGGTTCGATTCCCCACATGGGTACAATGTGTGAAGCCGATTTCTAGTTTCCACAGCCGTGATATTGCTGGAATATTGCTCAAAGCGATGTAAAACTAAACCCACTCACTAGCACATTCTGAAACAAAGGTACAATCAATTTTGTGAATGAATTGTTTTATCAGCATTCTAGTTGGTGAATCAGTAATGAAGCATACAACTTTATGGATGACAACTTCTTGTTTATTGCATAGAGTAACATTTCAGATTAGATAAGAGTGCTTTCAGCTTCATAACGGTGTAAGAATCTACACCGACACATCGCTCTATGCAATATATAAGAAATTGTCATCAATAAACTTGCTTTATTCATAATGAATGAAGAGATCTTGACAATGACCTTGACATTTGGCTTCGGTCTATGTTATAGGTAGGTGAAACAATCGAGCAAGGTTTATGATATGGTACATATGATGCACAGGTCACGATGTGATACATATTTACGTCAAATCATCTTCTTAACTAAATATATCAGAACAGGTTCCAAAGGAATAATTAGGTGTCAGATACAAGTTCACAGCAGTTATTTATAGTAGTGAACAGTGAAACACTAATTTAACACATTTTGCGACATTTGACTGACAAATGCTGAAGTGGGTGTCATTAACGAGCAGTGATTTAGAGATTGTGTTGTCTTGTAATCAAATGGAAATAACGTGGAAAAAACGATCTTGTGTCCTAATGCCTTATGAAAACTAACAATACAGCTGTGTACCCATGAATAATTTCCCCAGTGTTTCGGCTGGCTATTTATACAGCTGGACATTGTGATCGGCTAGCATTTCAAATACCGGTCATTTGTAAATTTTACCTGTCAAGTGATCACGCTTTTCATTGTACGTGAGACCTTGCACTCTAACAACCAATCAGAAATGCAGAAATTAGAAAACTGATTTTAAGAATTTGAGTGACACGATGACTGGCAGCCTTTGAAATTATCGGACATTCTAACTTTGTCCCGGTCAAAGACCGGTATATACCAGATAACAGAAACACTGTGACAATGTTTCAGTTGTGTGTTGTCTATGTTTTCAATTTACTGATCTAAAACCCCAGTTAAACCAACTGAATGTCACTGTTTGAACATAAAGTTCAAGGAAAACAGTGTTTCCGTTATCCGGTATATACCAGCCTTTGACAGGTACAAAGTTAGAATGTCCAGTAATTTCAGAGGCTGGAATTGATTCCTATTGATGCATACAAAAAAATATTCACCAATGTTTGTATCTGTTAACAAATCATCTGTGAATGCAACACACATAAATCTGTCATAACATTTTCACAAACCTGGAGAGGTTATGAATTCTTTGAAGAAAAGTCCTCCTTGGGGTACATATAAGCATTAAAATGTCCATTTTAAAAGCCTACGACAGTTGTAACAATATTTCAATAAAATATTTTACCAAACAAAAAACTCGTTATGTGTGATGAGACCACCCCTACAGGGCCCCGTAGAGGGCCCCCTACAGCCAAGAGCAGGTAACTCTGGCTGTGTACCTCGAATACCTCACTTTTCATGCTGAGCGTGTCCAAGACAGAATGAGGGAGGTGGGCGACCGTACCCCAGGAGGACTTTTCTTCAAAGAATTCATAACCTCTCCAGGTTTGTAAAATTCTTTTCAGAAGAAGTCCTCCTTGGGGTACATATAAGCATAAGACAGACTCCCAGCGATGTTGAGTCGGGAGGCGGTATTCTGTCTGCCTAACATACCCCCTAGTTCAGTCGAAGGCACAGCCGGCAGCGACAGAGAGAGAAAGTACACTCACCTAGTCACCTGACCGCTGAAGTCAATCAGAAGGCGTGGCAAAGGCGGGGAAAAGGAGCCTAGCCGATAGGCTATTGGTGGAATTTATAAAGGCGGATGCAAGTCCACCCCCAACCATCAAAATGGGAGGAAAGTATAGGCGAGTCAATACATATCCCCTCAGCAACCCAAACCAGCGAAGTGTGGTGCAGGGATGAACACAGTGACTGTAGCGGTGATAATGTCGCTACAGGCGGTAAAACCACCACCAATGTGATACCACCACCGATAAAAATTGAGGAATTTATTAACACCTACACCATGAGAAAAGCAAGCGTGATTTCTAAGGCTCATTCGGACTGAGAGAATCACGACACTGTCCACTGGTGAGAACTGTCTGGCCAAACCCGAACGCTCCCGTGAGTGTTTGTCCAGCTGATAGTGGCGGATGAGCGTGCTCAGTCGGCTCCAGATAGCAGCTGAGCAGATCTCCTCAATGGGCAGTGCCGCGGCTATATGCTTTTGATGTAAAAGCCACTGCCCTAATCGAATGAGCCTTTAAACCCTGAGGGATGGTTAATCCTTTGTAAAGTAACTTTCGAACAAATGGCAGAGACAAGCCACCTAGATATGGTCTGCTTGTTCGCCGGAAGACCAGCCTTGCCACCGCCATAACAACAGAACAGCTGCTTATCTTTCCTGGTAGCAGCCGTTCGTTTTGATATAAGCCTTGAGTCTTACGGACATCTAAGGCGTGAGCTAACGCCGAAGAGGTACCCGGACGATGGAGGCTGAGTGAAAGCTAACCCAGTTCGATAGAAACCGTTATATGAAAGCCTCGCGACCTTAGGACGGTAGGAGTCTGGCAACCGAATACTGACTCTGTCTTTATGAAAGACCCCCGGATAGTAGACGCGGCTAAACCGGCTTCTAACCGAGACTGCAAGAACTCCAGTACTTCAATTACAGTTGAAGAAAAGGGATCAAGAATCCCTCTGCCGACACACCAGCACGCATAACAGGCCCATCTATCCTCATACTGAGCGTTTGTAGCCGAATCCCTCCATGCTGAAGCCAGAATTGTGTCTGCAACTGGTGCAGGAATTCCCTTCAGCGTGGAGGCGATTCGGACGAAGCCAGAGCCACCACACTGAATCCTGGGATTCGGTGCGGCGCTCCGTTCTGGGATAGTAAGTCCAAATTCGAAAGGGTAATAGTACAGGAGGCTGAGCCAGAAACCTGAGTAGTACCCGGAAACCAGCTTTGAGCCCGACCAAGGGGTGCAAGGAGCACAAGAAGTCGAGCTGGTTGAATTGGCAAGCTGCAAGAGGACTTTGGGAATCAGGGTAGTAGTGGCGGGGCAGCCCACAGAACCCTGTCCGTCCAATCGAGCTGGAAGCGTCTTGGGGCGATGGCTCTGGATCCGTATCCGAGAGCAAAACACCGAATCTGGTTCGTCCCCAGATGCAAACAGATCCACCTGGAGCGACCGAACAACTGGGAGATAGCCCGAATATCCCCGATGGAGCATCCACTTTCATTATTGGGGCCAGGATCTGACGAGAGAGTGCATCTGCTCGAGCGTTGTCCGCCCCAGGGAGATAAACAGGCATTACCGTGTATGTCGAACTGGTCAGCACCAGAGCAGAAACTGCCATGCCTCCTGCAGAAGAGGCGGGGAAACCGTACCGCCCTGCTTCAGGATGTAGGTCATTGCCGTCTGGTTGTCCATCTCTGAGGCCGGACCACACGCGACCTTGAACCTGCTCCAGTCGTTTGAACACCAACCTGACTGCTCTCAATTCCTAGCACATTGATGTGCAGTTGCGCTCGCTCTGTGACCACAGGCCTGAGAGACCGACAGAGGCGCTTGCACGCCCCACCCTGTGAGGAAGCGTCCGTCTGAATTGAGAGATCTGGCGATGGGATGTCCAAAGGGAGCCCCTGGATAAATTCCCCTGCCAGTGTCCACCACCGTGAAATGAGGAATTAGCCACCCTGGAGTGTGGAGAATCAACTTCGTAACCCTGGGTGTGGACCCACATTCGAAGCTAGAGCCTGCTGAATGGGTTATCATCCTCAACCTTCTGCCAAGCGATGTCCACCGTTGCCCGCCATGTTGCCTAGCAACTGGAGCCAAGTCGAGCTGAGGCCCTGGGAACTTCGAGAAATTGTAACACAACACTCTGGACTTTGGTGGCCGGTCCGGAGACAGGAGACTATCCCTCAGCTGTCTCCGATCTTGCTCCCAAGAACACCAGATCCTGGGTGGGAACCAGTTCTGATTTCTTGAGGTTGATAATCAAGCCCAACTTGGTGAGAATACTCATCACAGAAAGTGTCGCGCTTTCGACTCAAGTGAGTGGCAGCGCGCCTGAAGGAGCCAATCGTCTAGGTACGGGTTGACAGCACCTGCCCTGTGACCTGGCTACCTGAGCTGGAATTAGCATGAGTTTGGTGAACACCCGTGGCTTCTGTGGAGATGCCGAAGAGTACCCGAAACTGATAGCACCTCCCGTCCGAAGAGAAAAACCTTAGGTATTTCCTGAACTTCGAGGGGTGCATAGGGACATGGAAGTACTGCGTCTTTGAGGTCGATTGGCGTGAGCCAATCTCCCTTCTCCACAGGCCGAAATCACCCGAGCGCAGTGTTTCCATCTTGAAGGGCTGGTACCTCTAACATGTCGTTCAGACCTTTGAGGTTTAGAATAGGTCTGAACCCTCCGTCCTTTTGGTGACAAGGAAATAAGTTGAGTAAAAACCCAACATTTCTTGTCCCACAGGAACCACCTCTATGGCTGCCTTGTCCAGCGTAGCGACTGGACCTCGACATGCACGGAGCACTTCCGCCTTCTCTAGGGCAGCCGGCACTGGAGTGCAACGGATCCCGGAGAAGGGGGTGGGTCTCGCTTCCACTGTGGCATGTGGCCTTCCTGAGTGTGGACAGGACCCAGGGATTGGGCGTGACTTTTCCCATTCCGACAGGAAGAGGAAAATCGACCACCCACAGGGATATGTGGCATGAGACATTGAATACCTGACTTCGGCAGTTCTCCGACTGCTTGGTCTGGTACCAACAAGGGCTCGAGGAATTATAGCTGGGAAGCCGGGGCTGACTTCCCTTCCTCTGAAAAGGCTGGTGGGCAGCCGTGGTCGCCCTTGCCCCTGCCTCTGCCCACTTACCCCTCAGCGACTGCAAGGGCTGAGCCCATTTAACAGATTCGCCGCGCGGCAGAAGGATATGCGCGAGAGAGACAACGGGGGCGTGGCGAGGACATGTGAGGCTGTTCCAGCAAGGGCTTAGAGTCCTTGAAGGTTGAGACAGCCTCCAGCGGCCTCCCCGGACTACTGTAACTGCCCGGGAACAGGGTAGAACCCATCCCGGAATGGCAGCAGCCAGCAGAACACCTGTTCTGCGTGGCAGGCGAATACCTGCATGCGCCGAGAAGCCACGAAGCGACGGAGGCCAATCACCGCCGACATCATTTAGCGCAAGCGGCGACCTGATAGAATCGCTGGCGCCAGATGTGACTGTACCTCCGTTAATTGCTTAGCCAAAGGTGGAGGAGGCGAATCTTCCTCCGCCCCACCCACATCCAGTAGTTGCCTCTGCAACACCGGAGATGTGGCCGGAATGGATGCGTCACTTTGAGGGCATTGAACGCATTGGGTATTGCTCTTCAAGGATCCATAGGCGGGTTAAAGCTGTAGCGTTAGTGCGTGAGCAACGAGAAGCCACGGCGACCTTGCAGGCTGAAGCCAGCAGACCATTACCGACAAACCCCCAGAGCTGACGGATGCGTAAACACAATCGTCAACCACTGGGGGGATTGTAAAACAAGCCTCCCCATGAGGTACCGACGGGATCAGAAGTTCTGGCAAATGTCGAACCTGGACCTGGTACCACAGAGGAGGGTTGATTACCTCAGACAAGACTGAGGGTAATATCGCGCCTTGTGTCCCCACCTTGGTGGGGAGCAAAAGCCTCCCTGGGAGCCCGAAACTCCTGAGGGTCGGATGGCCAGTACTGACCACTACCTGGGGCAGGACAGGGCAATCATCCCATTGCCTGCCGAGGGACGCACTGGCGAACCAAAGAGGCGTACCCACTCCTCCCGACCCTCATCCTCCTCCATAGCCTCCTCGAATCGATCCTCAATGAGTGAGGTCTCTGTAATCAGAGAGAGCTCTGAGGGATCATCGAGGGGTCTACAGAGAGGGACAAAGGCTCGAGCAGAGCTGGGTTGCCCAGCACACCTGACCCAAGACTCGACACTGAGTCGCGGTGGCGTGACGAGGAAGAGCCCGTGCTGGGATTCCTCAATGGTAGGCAAAATGATCCCGACACCGAATGGCCCGGCCAAGCCGGCGCAAGCGGTGGGACCAAATGCGAAGTAGCGGCAACTACAGGGACTGAGCCTGCAAAACTGGCACTAACTACTGGACCAGACCCAGAGCCAAGGCTCGGGCCGGTAGTAGTTACTACAGCGGAGGGGTGGCCAGCAACCGAGACGAGACTCGGAGCCGACGCACCCCCGACAGAAACCCCCACACCAGAGCCTAAGCTAAGGTTTGGAGCACTGCCCGCCATAGACCCGGAGCACACACCCATACCCGGCCGGACGCCAATCTCCTGACGGAGGCCAGCCATCGCGTCAGCCACTAGAGTGTGGACCGAATCCATCTGCTTCTGCAATATATCAGAAAGTAAAATCAATTGTTAGCTGGTTAGAAACAGGGACAGGAGGGGAAGGTGCCTGTGATGTGGAGGGAGATGGCAGGTGAAGGCGGAGGCCTTCGCACCTTTCGCCCGCGTTTAGGAGCAGCATCCCCAAAGAGAGGAAGCCAAAGCCTTCTTTTTTTTCTTTGCTTTTTATCTTTGTCTTTTAGGCTCCTGACCCCAAATGTCCCCCACCTGAAGTAAGGACGTGTAGAACATGTAATCAACGCGTCTGGACTTGATGAATGCGGGGAGAAAACCTGACACATAGAACAACCTTGTTAGATCATGGGCTTCCTCCTGTAGCTAAAACAACGTAAAGCAAACCAGGTGGCGATCCTGAAGGCGACAAACTGCGCTACAGGTGACACACGCCCCAGGCTGCAAAAACAGAACCACGCTATATGACAATAGCAAGGAGGTATCGATATATATAATATAATATGCACACAACAAAACAGAACAAAATACAGCGCCGGGCGATATTTTAACTGTTACAGCAAAGCTATTAAATACTAGCGCCAAAGCCATAATAGCGGCGTAATTCATTACATAGGTGACAAAGAGCAACATGTGAGCAACACGTAAACGCTACGATCGCGAAAACTCCTCAAGCAAAACTTACCTAAAGCCTGGAAAAAGAGGAATTTAGGCAAAGTATAATCTACAAAATGAAATATCAGCCCCTTCACGACCGACTACAAGGCTTTTTCTAAAGCCAGGAGAAGGAAAGCAAGCGAGGACCAGCGATCCGCCATCTTGCCTGCCACGGCTGGAGACAGCCGAACACGCCCGACAAAGTTACAACAAATCATGAATGAAAAAGTCATACAAAGATTCCAGCTAGCGCCAGTGAAAAAAGGAACCATACATACAGGATTTGACTCTATCTCACTCCTTCGCTCTCTTATTAGGTAGCTTCTTGGACCATGCAATGCGACCTACCACGACCCGACGACAGCATGAAAAGTGAGAGTCACGAGGTACACAACCAGAGTTACCTGCTCTTGGCTGTAGGGGACCTCTACGGGGCCCTGTAGGGGTGGTCTCACCACACATAACGAGTTTTTTGTTTGGTAAAATATTTTATTGAAATATTGTTACAACTGTCGTAGGCTTTTAAAATGGACATTTTAATGCTTATATGTACCCCAAGGAGGACTTCTTCTGAAAAAGAATAATCAGTCCCTCTTGGTCAACTTACCTCAAGAACTGCACACTGTCTACTGACTGCAAAGTTACGGAAAAGATGGAAGACACTGTTGAGTGCCTTGATGAGCAGACCACACCTGTCCTGGTACACCTGTAGGGACAGCAGGACCTGCTCCTCATCACTCTCACCGGTCACCTGCAACACCAACAACCATACACAACATGATCAACCTGCACAACACCTGTCCTGGATAACCTGTAGGTCTCAGACTCCACACACAACATGATCAACCTGCACAACACCTGTCCTGGACAACCTGTAGGGCTCAGACTCCACACACAACATGATCAACCTGCACAACACCTGTCCTGAACAGCCTGTAGGTCTCAGACTCCACACACAACATGATCAACCTGCACAACACCTGTCCTGAACAACCTGTAGGTCTCAGACTCCACACACAACATGATCAACCTGCACAACACCTGTCCTGAACAGCCTGTAGGGCTCAGACTCCACAGACAACATGATCAACCTGCACAACACCTGTCCTGGACAACCTGTAGGGCTCAGACTCCACAGACAACATGATCAACCTGCACAACACCTGTAGGTCTCAGACTCCACACACAACATGATCAACCTGCACAACACCTGTCCTGGACAACCTGTAGGGCTCACACTCCACACACAACATGATCAACCTGCACAACACCTGTCCTGAACAACCTGTAGGTCTCAGACTGCACACACAACATGATCAACCTGCACAACACCTGTCCTGAACAACCTGTAGGGCTCAGACTCCACACACAACATGATCAACCTGCACAACACCTGTTGTGAAACAAGGACATGTTTGAACATTATCAACTGTACACAACAGTTTATAAATCTTATAAACCCGTGAAGATCCAGGTTAGAATTGATCTTCGGTAACCCATGCTTGTCGTAAGAGGCATCTAACAGGATCGGGTAGTCAGGCTCGCTGACTTGGTTGACATGTCATCGTATCCCAATTGCTTAGATCAATGCTTACGTGGTTGACCACTGGATTGTCTGGTCCAGACTCAATTATTTACAGAATGCCGCCATATACCTGAAATATTGCTGAGAGTGGCGCAAAACTACACTCACTCACACTCACTCCACCTTTGGGAAGTACTGACTGACTGAGTTTGGATTTACGCCGCTTTTAGCAATATTCCAGCAACATCACGGCGGGGGACACCAGAAATGGGCTTCAAGCATTGTACCCATGTGGGGATTCGAACCCGGATCTTCGGCGTGACGAGCAAACGCTTTAACCACTAGGCTACCCCACCGCCCCCCTTTGGGAAGTATGTGTTACCATTAAGAATGGTCAGTAGAAGATGTCTAAGAATTTAAGCACTAGGACTCTTAACAGACGCTGAAATCATGTCAGATAATCAGTCGGACTCCGGGGAACTAGGTGTCCCCTCTGACTCATCTGATCTGGAAACACCTCCGCCTGCTACACCAGAGTCAGTGAAGCACAGTAGAAGAGGCCTTATCGGCACCTTTGAAGCCTTTTGATAATCTCATTAAAGATTATCGGATCTCTGCGGCGTAAAACTAAACTCACTCACTCACTCACTATGAAGCTTATAAACTTATGAAACAGTTAACTCAAGAGGAAAAAATATGTTCAGGTTTGCATGAGCTACAGAACTAAATGGCTGTGTGCATGTTAGGGCTGGGACGAATACCCGGGTACAACTGGAATCGAGTACCCGGAAAGGGAGAGAACTCTGTAATGACACGGGCAGGTAACGCTAACAATATGGACGACACATGCTAAGTTTTGGCTCATTTTGAACTAGATGCAGATGGCAAGAGAACCAAATGCCGACTCTGTGGTACCATGGCAATCTACTGCGGAAACAGTACAAGTTCAGTGCACAAACATCTTGAACTAAAACACAACCAAAAAAAAATAAACGACGTATTCTTTACATTGTGTAACTGTGTTTACTGCTTATCAAGTTAGTTCATTTCAGGTTTTCTATAATAATCTCTGTCAAATCGTGACTGAATATTCAGAAAGTTGACAGAAGCTATGTATTCCTAACATTTCCGGGTACTCGATTCCTATTCGGGTAAGTGCATGTGGGTACTCGATTCCATTTTTTCCTACCCCTCCCAGTCCTAGTGCATGTGATGTCGATTTATGTCCTAGTGGCGGTTCATTGATTAATTTCAACCATAAACAGACATTAGATGAATAAAACAAAAGTGTAGAGCATTAAAATGCCCAACCAAATTTGACCAACATATTACAGATCATCAGAACCAATTTTACATTTTTACCTGATTTTGAAAAATGGATAACAATGATTATATTCTTTTAAAAAATGCAAATACTAAACATGAATTGATTTCTCAAAGGGAGATAATTAACTCTTGAGTATAATGTCAACCTCCTGTTATTGGGTATAAGTCTGGGGAACATTTTGTGTATAATGCACAGTCAGAAACTACATCATGTCTTTTAGGTGAACCAACAAGCTCACCCAAGTTTTTGGTCCTGACTGGATTTGATACAAGCATGGCTGATTTGAACCCCTTAATCATTGCTACACGTATGTAGGTCACTTGACCCCCGGGATAAAACAGACAAGTGTTTGCCACTAATAAGGCAATGTCCCCCGCCGCTAAAGAATGGAATATTCATAACATATTTACTACTTTTTCTTTTTTGCTCACATACAAGATGCTTGAAATCACAGATGTCTGCATAATCACCCAATGTAGGCTGTCGACATAATTGAAGACATTGGGTGCAATGTTTTATGAGATATCGCGTTTACATAAGTTTGAAAAGTGGTCAAAGTGTCGTGGTGACCTTGAAGATAAGGTCAAGGTCACCAAAATCGGCTGGTGTCTGTGTAATCCCCAATGTAGGCTGTCACCAAATTTGAAGACATTGGGTACAACAGTGCATGAGATATGGCGTTAACAAGAGTTTGAAAAGTGGTCAAAATGTCGTGGTGACCTTGAAAATAAGATCAAGGTCACCCCAGTCGACTGGTGTCTGCGTAATCCCCCAATGTAGGCTGTCACCAAATATGAAGACATTGGATACAACAGTGCATGAGATATCAACATAACAAGAGTTTGAAAAGTGGTCAAAGTGTCGTGGTGACCTTGAAGATGAGGTCAAGGTCACCAAAATCGACTCGTGTCTGGGTAATCCCTCAATGTAGGCTGTCACCAAATTTGAAGACATTGTGTACATCAGTTCATGAGATATCGCGTTTACAAGAAATGGGACGGACAGACGGTCGCCGCTGAATACATAGTACCCCATTCCGCATTGCGACGGGGGAAAACAACAGAGAGAGACCATTACTCACCCGTTTGGCAGGTATATTCTTTCTGTAGCAAGCATCATGGGCACATCCAAACAGACCCAAAAACTCAAGCATTCGTCCTTCCAGTCCAGGAATACTACACATTCCGGCACTGCAACACAAAGTGGCATATACAACACCTGCAGCATCACATGACGAGTGACTCTACAACACCTGCTGTATCACATGACCACTGACTCTACAACACCTGCTGCATCACATGACCACTAGGGTTGGGTATTGCCAAATTTTCGTATTGCGATATGTGTTGGCGTATTGCAATATGTATTGACTGAATATACATCGTCGTCTTGAAATATGTATTGCAATATATTGTGAAAGTGTAACACATGGGTTAAAGTAATGAAGATTTCTTTTGAAACAATGCCACTGGCCACTGTCAGGACTCAGATGTGATTGTACAAGAGATCAGTTGAAAATGTATCCAAATTGAAGTCTTCGCTCTAAAGTTTGGAACTCGAGGAAAAGCGTCTGCAGCGACGTGCACCATTTTGCTTTGTTTATCCCTACAATGAGTGCCGGTACTAGGGGTGCAACCATGCAGGTGGGCCACGATACGATACGTATCTTGATACTGCTGCCACGATTCGATACGAATCGCGATACACAAAATAAAAAGAATAACAAAATATAAGCATACAACTTTTATTTGAATTAAAGAAGAAATCTTCAGTCACAGTTAGTAAACTGTACCAAGTCTCTTGTACCTGAAAACAATTACTTTTGTTTTAAAATTAAAAGTAAACACTAAACAAATCTGTTACTTTAACAGCAGTCAGCCATCTGGATATTCTGAAATAAACTTTGACACTTTCAAGGAGTCTGAAAATCTGACTAACACAACATTGTCAAACAGACAAATGGTTACATACTCTTTCTCAGTGTGCTTCATGCATCATAATTCTGTTACAATTACAGTTTCATAAATTTTTTTAGGAAAATCAGAACATCAACATTTTCAGCTGAAAGTGAAGCACGTTGAGCAGTGACAATATCCCCAGCAGAGGAAAATACTCTCTCGCTGGGGACTGAAGTAGCACACACTCCTAGATACTGCTTCACAAGACGGGCAAGGGCTGGGAATCTGACTGCGTTCATCTTCCACCAAAGCAGGGGGTTTTCAGTTTATGGAATACAATGTACATTCCTCAAGCTTGTATTTCTGCACCTCTTCCTCAATGGAAACAGAAAGTGGCTTTGCCTCTTGCACATGTGTAATGAACACCTCCCCAAATATCTCCTCAATTGCACTTTTGGTTTTCTTAGGTTGTGATGGGCATGGTGTCTCAGAGTCAGAAACAGAGTCTGAAGTGCAAGTCTGTGTCCGACCAGTCTCAGTGTCATGACATTCAGGGGGCTGACTGTCGGTTTGAGGCAATACAGGTAGGGGGGCTGTGCTATCGCTTCATCTGTAGGATGACTCGGTTCCTCCTTCACTCTCAGTGGAGCCACTTCATCCTAAAAGAAGAATTATAACAGTTCAACCGACAGCTAAAATGTCTAAAGTGATATTTGAAATGTAGCATGATTAATTGATCATGATACACTGTTGAAACGTTTTTACCATTCAGAATTTCAATCATTTTATGTAATAAAAATAATTAAATATTCAGAAACAAATTAAGATGAAGTTTTGTTGTTTGAAACACCTTTTTCTGTGGAATTTTTGTTTTAAATTTTTAAGGCATTAATTAATTACATTAACAGTATTTTAATTATTCAATTGTTGAACTGTTTATTTACCTTGTTTGCTTCTGCCATGTTGATCGCATTCATGGTCAGGGCACTGAATACAAGAAGCCAGTTGGCTTCATTGTGGTAGGGTAGTGATCGAAACCTGGGGTCAAGGGCAGTTGCTTCCTGTAGAAATTTGTTGATGTCAGGCTCAGTATATCTGGTCTTCAGATCTTTGACAGTTGCCGACTTCACAGACTTGACAAGGCCAGAATCACTTTCAGTGACAGCCATGGATTTAAGAATTAGCTTCTTTAATGGTAGAATCAAGGACACTGTGGGCACTTTCTCTGAACAGAGGATTGTTGTTATTGTCTTCAATGGTCGAAGAACACTTACCGCATCTTCTACTAAGCTGACATCTTCCTCTGACAGAGTAACAAGGGTGTCTGCATTTTTCCTGATATCCTTCACTGTGAGAGTAGGAAAGATTGCAGCTTGCTGCTCGAGATATCGCTGAAGCATGTCGAGCTAGAATTCCATCTCGTAGAAACATCTTGGATCAGTTTGTGATCGGGCAATTCAAGAAGTAACTGTTTTGACCTGAGAACAGATGCAGCATGTGAGCTTCTGTGAAAGAATGAAACTATTCTTCTCACTCTCCCCAAAATTCTGGACATCTCGCGGCACCTGCATGGCTTTTGGCTTGCTATGTTAATTGTGTCGCAGAAAAGCACCTTATATGAGGTGCAAATCTCGACTGCTTTACAGCACTAACAATATTGCTAGCATTGTCTGTGCTAATGGCAATCTGAGAAAATTTGCCTAAATTCCATTCGTCAACAGCTGATTCCAGGACATTAGCCAGGTTTGCCCCAGTGTGGCTCTCTTGTAATGTTCGGTGTTTGAAGTACCCGGATTGTCAAGTTGCCAGTCTTCGTTAACATAGTGAGCATGATGGTAATATAGGCTCTCGGTGGAACGTGAGGTCCAACCATCAGTAGTGACAGCCATTGATGACGCACGAGCAATACTTTCCATCACACTTGATTTTACATTCTTGTACATTTCAGGTATCACATAATTCGTGAAGTAGGTTCTCGATGGGATTTCATATCTCGGTCAAGTGTGTGGATGAGGTACTTGAAACCGATGTTCTCTACAACTGAATAAGGTCGCATGTCCATCGCAATGAATTAGACGGGGGAATATACGCATCACACCACACTACCCTTGAAAAATTCTAACAAAAGGTTTCTCAGTGTTTTTCACTTCTACTTGGTATGGTTATCAACAGAAAAAAAGTCTACCAAAATCCCACTGTGCAAAAGGGGTTAAAATCGGTTATTTCTATAACATGGTATCAAGCAGCAGCCAACTACAAGCGATACAGATGAAGAACAAGTTTTTAGGTGAGTAGTATCCACTGCTTGTTTACATTGGAGACAACACATTTGCCAGCATATTTACATGAAGTCTTCTTCCTGCCCATAATGTCAATTTAATGGAAATGGTAATTATTGAGATATGAATTTTGTTGAGTTAGAATATACATCAGCTTAAACTACTCCAAAAAATGGTGTATGATATTAAATGTATAAGTAAATCCATCTCAATGAATGTGCTGTCTGCTATGATGTCAATATGACCATCAGAAGCATATCTACATCGAATAATGGGTAATCTATAATAAAACTTATGATAATAGTTGTTAAATACCAAACAAACAAGATTCACAACAATGTTCATTGAGGAAATTGTAATATAAAGCTTAAATTCAAAGAAAAGTGCAGCAAATTTACAACACCTCCAGCCCCTCTGCTTGGAGCCAAGCTCCTCTGCAGTGTGTTTCACTTTCTCTGCATGGAGTTTCACCTATATAAAAAACTGTTTTCTTGATGCCTTATCATACATTCTTAAATACCCAGATGAATTTTTAAATATGATTTTTTTTTTAAGTAGTACCTACTTTTTTATCATAATTTCCTATAAAGTTACATGTGAACCATTTTAAACAATTAGTTTTATATTGATTGATATAATTTCCACAAACATAAAACACTTAAGTGCCCTGATTAAGAAAAATGAATCTGAATTTTAATGTTTTTTCAAATAAAATATAATGCAAAAAATCCTATTTTGATCATGATATTTTAGATTTATAGTAATCAATGAACATGAAATATTTAAGTGCTTTGCCTAATAAAATTCAATTGCATGAATATAAGATCTTGCTATTTAATTTGGATTTTTGAACAAATAACTATCTAAAGCATTGACATATGAATAGGTATGAAAATGTTATTATCTCTCTACATATATTTTTGGTTATAATAAAACTTAAGTTTAATGTTGTCTTATGATGTTCCAATATACTAGTATTAGCAAAAACTTTGAAATCGAGGAAAAATAAAAATGTTTTATAGGAAATAAATATTACCATCTTTTCTCTATATAAATGCCAGTGTGAATTGTACCACTGTTTCATCATTTGTTTCAGACCACAGTTGGAGAACACTTATTCAAGTGTCAGTTATGTCTGAAAAGACTTGACAATGGCCGTGACATTGTGAAAATTGGCCAGAAGGGAGCCGATGGTATCAACGCTGCTAGTGCTTCACACAGGTGATGACATTAGTGTGGAAGCAGGATGCAAGGTGCACTTGCACTGTCGCGAAACAGTATATCAATCAGCATGATATTGAAAATCAGAAGAAGAAACAAGAGATGCAAAACCCCCTTTGAAGCGGTAAGTTCTCGTGTTTTTGAAGGATACTTTCAATAGTAATTCGACTGTATATTTTGTGGTAACACAGTTTCCTTTAAGGTAGTCCAGATTTCAGCTACGTTAAGACTTTCAACTTTGCAAAATCAATACTAGATTGTTACGAAAAAGATGTGATGATTGGTCTCTTGCAGTGAAAGGGCGCGATTCAGTACTATGGAGGAGATCTGCATGCAGCCGATTGCATCTATCATCATCAGTGCAGTGTACACTTCCGTAATGGCAGTGATGTACCAGTCAAATTTCGTGATGTCCCTAGAACTAAAACACCTGGCCCCTCCCTAAAGACAGTGATCAAGAGCAGGCTTTTGCTAAAATGTGTTTGTATCTCGAGGACAATGATGAGGAACAGATGACTATTACATACCTTCGGAAAGAATGAGGAAGTATCTGATGGGTGAAAATTCTCTCCCCTACACCAACTCCCATTTGAAGAACAAACTGAAGGAACGCTATGGGGACTCTATCTATATAGCTGACAGAGGACTAAGTGACATTATCACATTCAGGGAGAAAACATCTAATATCCTCCAAGCATATTACAAAAATGCAGAACGTGAAGGTGACGAGGAAACACAAAAGAAGGCCATAATTGCAACCGCTGCAAGATTGATCAAGAGTGACATTAAAAC